GGACTGAGCTCACAGCCTGAGCATGTTCCCTTGACCAGAATCGAACCCAGATCCTTCATTCCAAAAGCTGACTATCCACTGAGTCATACCAGCTAGGGCAGCAAATTGTTTTATTTTTAAAAGTTTATTTATTTAATATATATTTTATTGCTTTTTTATAGAGAGGAAGGGAGAGGGAGAGTTAGAAACATCAATTGGATGTCTCCTGCACACCCCCAACTGGGGATGTGCCTGCAACCAGTGTACATGCCCTTGACCGGAATCAAACCCAGGACCCTTCAATCCGCAGGCTGGCGCTCTATCCACTGAGCCACACCGGCCTCAGTTATTACAGCAATCCGAGGGGTCCTGCCAGAAGTGCATATTGCCTGGTTGAAAGGGGAGCGATGGGAAATGCACACATTGGTACTAAGTGTTTAAGTTGCCTATTTGTTCCCGGGATGAAGGAGACAGCGAGACACTCTGCCGGTTCCCTAGCAACAGGAACAGGGTCCCTGGGGCACAGGCTGAGCGGCCTGTCACTCCACCCGAGGAATGCAACAATGATGCACCTTCTGTGGACTCAGGCCAAAGTCACAGAGATTATAAACATCTTACATCTCATTAATATTAAAAATAATGTTAGTCCCAACTGATTCCCCGAAAATATGGAGTCTGATCTCTAGGAATAAAGTCTCACCGTCCAGGAATTTATTACCAAAAGAAAAAAAACAAAACAAAAAACCAAAGTGCTGTGGATCACGAATGGAGGATTTCCAATCGGTATTTATATGTCAACAAAGGATAAGGAAACACTTTCATTTTAATCATGTCACAGGAGCTGCTCAATAAAAGCCCAGCTGTTCCCCCTGGCCGGTGTGGCTCAGTGGATAGGGCGTCGGCCTGCGGACTGAAGGGTCCTGGGTTTGATGAGAATCTTTGATCGGCTGCCTCCTGCACGCCCCCCTACTGGGGATCGAGTCTGAAACTGGGCATGTGCCCTGGACCGGAATCAAATCCTGACCCTCTCTTCTTCTTTTTAAAAAAAATATATTTTATTGATTTTTTTTACAGAGAGGAAGGGAGAGAGATAGAGAGCTACAAACGTCGACGAGAGAGAAACATCGGCCAGCTGCCTCTTGCACACCCTCTACAGGGGATGTGCCCGCAACCAAGGTACATGCCCTTGACCGGAATCGAACCTGGGACCTTTCAGTCTGCAGACCGACGCTCTATCCACTGAGCCAAACCGGTTTCGGCCTGACCCTCTCTTCAGTTCCCAGGCCCACACTCTATCCCGAGCCAACCCAGCTGGGGGCCTTTTAGTTTCTTTTTGGATTTTATAACGCACACAACAGTACCAAATACAAGTGTATGTAATTGTAAAGTGAATTGACACATATTTGGGATGCATGCTAGATTTTTTTCTTTTCTTTTTTTATCAACAGTGTACACAATCAAGAGGGTTCAGACTCTTGTTTTACCATCAGTATTTAGCTAGGTGACCTTTATGTATAAATGAACTTCTAATTTGAAAAGCCACAGCCAATAAAATATACTCTATTCCAAACAGCCAGCTGCTACTTGATGTTAAAATAAGAATATGTGAACAGAGAGGATCACAGAATCAACTGGAAAGAGGCGTGAGGGAACTTTCATGGGCATGGGTACTGTTTTACATCTTGATAGGGGCTTATTTAAAAAATAAAATAAAACACGGTAAATACACACACACACACACACACACACACACACACACCATGTTTCCCCGAAAATAAGACATCCTCCAAAAATAAGACCTAGCGCATGGAAAGATAAGACATCCCCTGAAAATAAGACCTAGCACAACTTTGGGAGCAAAAATTAATATAAGACACTGTCTTATTTTTGGGAAAACAGGGTATATATAAACAGGCAGCTGATCAATGATTCTCTCATCACTGATATTTCTCTCTCTCTCTCTCCCCCTTCCTTTCTGAAATAAAAAAATTATTAAAAAAAAGTGATAATATTTGAAATCTGAATGAATAGGATTTGTTCCATTTAGTACTTTTATAATATCACCTACAAACCTACAGCTAGGTTTGTGAAATAGGGAAAAATGTTTTACATAATTGGCATGCAAAATAATAACATATGAAGCACACAGCAATGCAACTAACAAAGACTAGAGAGCAAAATTTTTCTTTTTCTAACCTTTACCCTTCCTTGAAAATTACAACATGCCACTCACTATAAACTAACACACTAAGAAGCAAACACACACACACACACACACACACACACACACACACAGGTCTTTTCCTCAAGGAGCTCAAGTTAAATGTGAAAATAGATTTTTCTTAAATATATTTTTATTGTTTTTTTTTTACAGAGAGGGATAGAGAGCTAGAAACACCGATGAGAAACATCGATCAGCTGCCTCCTGCACACCCCCCACTGGGGATGTGCCCGCAACCAAGGTCCATGCCCTTGACCGAAATCGAACCCGGGACCCTTCAGTTTGCAGGCCGACGCTCTATCCACTGAGCCAAACCGGTTTTGGCAGATTTTTCTTTTCTGTATTTACTGTATCTTATCTAACAACCCAGTAGATTTTATTCCTTAGTTTTCTTTCCCACTTTGTCTTAGTTTGGAATGCTAACTTCTAGGAATTTTATGTACAACCAGATATACAGCTAGGACCAATTCTGTGGCACCGTGTTTTTGTTTGTTTCAAAATTACTACAGGTGGCCAAGGTATGAGATTTTAAGACTATTTTCTTTTTGACTCTGAGAATATTTCTCTTAAGATTAAAGACAGCCATTGTGGCCCTAGCTGGTGTTGCACAGTGGATAGAGCATCAGCCTGTGGACTGAAGGGTCCTGGGTGGGTTCAATTCCAGTCAAGGGCACATGCCTAGGTTGCGGGTACATCCCCAGTGGGGACATACAGGAGGCAGCCAATTGATGATTCTCTTATCATTGATGTTTCTCTCTCTCCTCCTGTCCTCTCTGAAATCAATGAAAACATATTTTAAATAACCCAAAAAGCCATTGTGTTAAAAGGAAATAACAGATGATGATAATCTTTAATTCACTTTTGACCATGTTTAAACTCATGTGCCCTATAGCTGTTTATTTGTTGTTGTTTTTTTAACGTTTTGTTGATTTTTTTTTTTTTACAGAGAAGAAGGGAGAGGGATAGAGAGTTAGGAACATTGATAAGAGAGAAACATCAATCAGCTGCCTCCTGCACACTCCTTACTGGGGATGTGCCCGCAACCAAGGTACATGCCTTTGATGGGAATCGAACCCGGGACCCCTCCGTCCGCAGGCCGACGCTCTATCCACTGAGCCACACCGGTTTCAGCTAGCTGTTTCTTTCTTTCATGATAAATGCATTCAGGAATCCAACAACGCCTGAAGCCACAAATCTTGCCTCTTGAAAACAGCTTGGCACCATACCATAAACATCACCATGTTCCACCATGAAAACTGGGCCTTCGTTAAGCACCACCCACCGGGCAGAGATGGAGAAAAGCTATTTGCAGAGCCTGATGGGACCCGAATAGGAACCCTTTTCCCGCTGGAAATCTGAGGTGGTATGTGGTGGAGGGAATCCTAGAGATGGATAATTCTCTCTCTCTGCCTGTCTTTTTAAAAAATATATTTTACTGATTTCAGAGAGAGTAAGGGAGAAGGATAGAGAGCCAGAAACATGGATGAGAGAGTAACATCGATCAGCTGCCTCCTGCACACCCCCCACTGGGGATGTGCCCGCAACCAAGGCGCATGCCCTTGACTGGAATCGAGCCTGGGACCCCTCAGTCTGCGGGCTGACGCTCTATCCACTGAGCCACACTGGCCAGGGCGATAATTCTCTCTTTTTTGCAGAAATGGATATTCAGACATTTGAAATGAGGAGCCCAGATCAGAGATACCAGTGTCCTCCCCCCCCCCTTTTTTTTTACTATCATGACAAAGTCCAAAATCTCCAACAAAAAAAATCTCCAAAAAAACCCAACACAAAACCCAAAACTCAAACCCACTTTATTATGTCCACCCATTCCTTCAACTTGACCAAACTGGCTGTCTGGCCACCCCTATGATGTCACTTCCTCTTTTGAACGGGCTGTATTTTCTCTCTCTTTCCAAAACAAAAAGGAAGAAAAAAAAAGAGAGAGAGAGTGAAAACACACCCATGTTGGAGCTCACTCTCCCATGCACCCCGATCTCCATCCACCCTCCTGATCCGGGTCTCGAACTCAAGGACACCCAACGCACATCCCCAAGTTGCCTTGAGACCCTCCCCTCTTCCCTGTGTCTTATTCCAAGACAACGATCACAGAATAAAATAAAATAAAATAAAATAAAATAAAATAAAATAAAATAAAATAAAATAAAATGGGTTTAGCTTTAAAAACAACAACCACAAAGCACACACACGGCCTCCTAAAACAAATAATAAAATAAAACAAAAAGGCGGATGCCATGCCTGCAGCAGAGGCTGATGCTTTCTAGGGAGGGAGCCCGTGCCGCCGAGGCCCGGGAACCCCGTGGCGGCCGAGGGCCCGGCCCGGGTCTGGGACCAACGACCTCCAACCAACATGGAGGGGACGAGGCGCTCGGGCGTCTCGAAACCCCCGACCCCCCGATTCCCCGACCCCTCCCACCCCCCCGGCCCGCGGGCGCGAGGCCAACAGGGCGGCCCGGTCCCGGGGCGAGGCTGGGCGCGCCGAGGCCCCGGCTTCGCGCCCGGGGGCGGCTCCACAGGTCCGGATGGCGGAGGATGCTGACCGCGCTGGCCTCGCCGTGACACCGCCCGGGCCGGCGCGCGCGGACCGCCATTTGCCGCGCACGCGCGTGCGCGCGCCCCTGGCGACCCCGCCGGGCGCCCCCGGGGCCGCGCCGGGTCCCCTCAGCGCGGGGCGCCCGGGCGGCGGCGGCCTGCGGGCCGGTGAGGCGACGGGGACGAAGGGGAAAACGAAGGAGGAAAAGGGGGCGGCGGCGCGCCATCATGGAGGGGGCCATGTACTCACCCGCGCCGGCCAGTGAGGGTAGCCCTTCATCTTGGCGAACACCAGGTCGCCCGCCTTGTACTCGCGGGGCCGCGGGCGCGCCATGTCGGCCGCCTCGCCTTCGCGGACGTCCTTGGGGGCCGCGTCCCCGCCGCGCGGGGGCCGACGGGTGGGGGGGTCTCGGGCGACCGGTCGGTTGGTCGGGCGGGCGGGGACGAGACAGCGGCGGCCCGCAAATCACGGTCCGGTCGCCGCGCGCTCACGGCCGCCGCGTCGCCTGCTTCATGCCGGTTCCCTCTCCGGTTTCCTCCCGGTTCTCCTCACAATTCTCCTCCCGGTTCTCCTCACAATTCTCCTCCCGGTTCTCCTCACGGATCTCCTCCCGGTTCTCCTCACAATTCTCCTCCCGGTTCTCCTCACAATTCTCCTCACGGATCTCCTCACAATTCTCCTCACAATTCTCCTCCCGGTTCTCCTCACGGATCTCCTCACGGTTCCGGGCCGGCCTCGCGCCTCCCCGGGCGGCAGCCGCGGCCGCGATCGAGGGCTGTTCTCGCGCGCGCAGCCCCCGCCCCGCCCGCCGTCCGCCGAGTCCCGGGTCCGCGGCCGCTTCCGCCCAGGCCCGGAGCGCGCCCGCCGCCGGCCGTGCTGCGCGGGGAACGGGCGGGCGGTGGGCGCGTCCTCCTCGCAGCGCCGAGCCCGCGCCGGCCGGCCGGGCGGGAGGGAGCGCCGCCGCCGCGCTCTTTTGTTCTCGGGGCCCCGAGCTGCCCGCGCGGCCCAGCCAATCACCGCCCGGCAGCCTCCCGCCCCCCAAACCCCCGTCGGGCGGCTGGAGGGGCCACTGCGCTGCAGCTCTGCGCCCCTTGGCCGGGTCCCCGCCCCGGGTCTGCCCCTTGAACCTGACAGCAGTGGAGACCCGCCCCGGAGGGCACACAGGCGGGATTCGAACTTGGTGCATGCCCGTGACCGGAATCGAACCAGGGACCTTTCCGTCCCGCAGGCTGATGCTCTAGCCACGGAGCCAAACCGGGTTCCGCAAAGGATTCGAACTTGGTCCAATGCCCGTCACCGGAATCGAACCCGGGACCTTTCCGTCCGCAGGCTGATGCTGTATCCACTGAGCTGGGAGCAGGGGAGACCCGCCCCAGAAGGCATAGGTGGGATTTGAACTTGGTGCATGCCCTTTTTATTTATTTATTTTTTTAATTTTATTGATGTTTTACAGAGAGGAAGGGAGACGGATAGAGAGTTAGAAACATTGATGAGAGAGAAGCATCCACCAGCTGCCTCTTGCATACCCCCTATTGGGGATGTACCCGAAACCAAGGTACATGCCCTTGACCGGAATCGAACCTGGGACCTTTCAGTCCAAAGGCCGATCCACTGAGCCAAGCAGCAGTGGAGACCCACCCCCGAGGGCACACAGGCGGGATTCGAACTTGGCCAATGCCCTTGGCCGGAATTGAACCCGGGACCTTTCAGTCCGCTGAGCCGGGCAGCAGGGGAGACCCGCCCCCGGGGGCACACAGGCGGGATTCGAACTTGGTCCAGTGCCCTTGGCCGGAATCGAACTGGGGACCTTTCAGTCTGCTGAGTCGGGCAGCAGGGGAGACCCGCCCCGGAGGGCACACAGGCAGGATACGAACTTGGTGCATGCCCCTGATCTGAATTGAACCCGGGACCCTCCCATCCACAGGCTGACACACTCTAGCCACTGAGCTGGGCAGCAGTGGAGATCCGCACCCCAGAGGGTGCACAGGCAGGATTCAATCTTGGTCCAATGTCCTTGACCAGAAACGAACCCGGGACCTTTCCGTCCCGCAGGCTGACGCTCTATCTAGCCACGGAGCCAAACCGGTTTCCGCAGGGGATTCGAACTTGGATCTGGCAGGACCACCCAAAGCCCATTCATGGTGGTTGGGAGACCTCAGGTCCCTGGACGTAGAGCCGCCGGGAGGGACTGAGCTCTGCTCGGGCAGGTCACTCGTGTGCAGGCCCGGCCACCTTTTGCATGAGATGCTTTTGCATGAAGTGAGTGGCGCCTCTTGCCTTCCGGAGCCTACCGGTCAGAGGTCAGCTGGTCCTTGTTGGGGTCGGTCCTCTGTTCTAGGCTTGCCTGCCCTCCCTCCTTTATTTTATTATTTATTTTTTTATTTATTTTAAAAATATATTTTATTGTTATTTTACAGAGAGGAAGAGAGAGAGATAGAGAGTTAGAAACACCGATCAGAGAGAATCATCGATCAGCTGCCTCTTGCACACCCCGTACTGGGGATGTGCCCGCAACCAAGGTCCATGCCCTTGACCGGAATGGAACCCGGGACCTTTCATTCCGCAGGCCGACGCTCTATCCACTGAGCCAAACGGGTCTCGGCCCCTCCCTCCTTAAAAAAATAAAATAAAATAAATATATATATATTATTGGCCGGGACTGGTTTGGCTCAATGGATAGAGCGTCGGCTTGGGGACTGAGTGGTCCCGGGTTCGATTCCAGTCAAGGGCATGTACCTTGGTTGCGGGCACATCCCCAGTAGGGGGTGTGCAAGAGGCAGCTGATTGATGACTCTCTCTCATCGATGTTTCTAACTATCTCTCTCCCTCTCTGTACAAAATCAATAAAATATATTTTAAATAAAATATATATATATTATTGATTTTTTACAGAGAGGAAAGGAGAGGGATAGAGAGCTAGAAACATGATGAGAGTCATCGACCAGCTGCCTCCTGCACTCCCCCCACTGGGGATGTGCCCGCAACCAAGAGACCACGAGGGAGGATTCCGGGAGCCCGTGTAGAAGGAGAAAAGGGGTGGCCGAGGATGGAGCCAGCTCACCCCAACATTGAAGGTTCAGGCAGAGAAAGGGAGAGGAGCGTGGCCCTCTTTCTGTAGGAACCGGAGGGTTAAAGAACTTCCAGAAGGAGGAATACGTCCGCGCGGATGCCGCGGAGAGGTCACGTCCGATGAAGAAGAAGATGGGTCCGCTGAAGCCGGGGATTGAGAAGCCGTTGGTGAATGGCGCTGGGAAGAACCAGGATGTGAATGAGAGGGAACGTGTGAAAGCCGGAAGGGTAGATAGACATCCCATGCCCAGAATCGAACCCGGGACCCTTCAGTCCGCAGGCTGACTGACCCTCTATCCACTGACCTGGGGCCTGGTTGCCCCCAGCAGCGAAGGAGCAGCATGAAAGCAGGAAGGAAGAGTTGTTCTGATTGCTCGGCTGTTTTTAACTTATTATTATTATTATTATTTTAAATATATTTTATTGATTTTCCACAGAGAGGAAGGGAGAGGGATAGAGAGCTAGAAACGTCGATGAGAGAGAGAGAAACATCAACCAGCTGCCTCCCCTGCACATCCCCCACCGGGGATGTGCCCGCAACCAAGGTACATGCCCTTGACCGGAATCGAACCCGGGACCTCTCAGTCCCCGCAGACTGACGCTCTATCCACTGAGCCAAACCGGTTTCGGCTTATTTTTGTTTTTTGTTAATCCTCACCTAAGGATATTTTCCCATTGATCCTTAGAGTGGAAGGAACAGGGAGAGACAGAGAGAAACATCGATGTGAGAGAGCTCCATGGATTGGTTGCCTCCCACATGACCGGAATCGAACCCGGGGCCTTTCAGTCTACAGACGTATGCTCCATCCAATGAGCCAGACTGGATAGGGATAGCTGGTTTTTTTTTAAAAATTAGAGAAATCTGAGAATATTTCTCTTAAGATTAAAGATAGCCATTGTGGCCCTAGCTAGTGTTGCTCAGTGGATAGTGCGAGCATCAGTCTGTGTACTGAAGGGTCCCAGGTTCGATTCTGGTCAAGGGCATGTACCTTGGTTGCGGGCTCAATCCCCAGTAGGGGGTGTGCAGGAGGCAGCTGATGGCTGTTTCTCCTCCCTTTCTCTCTCTTCTTCTCTATAAAATCAATAAAAACATACATATATATATATATATGTCCTTATTGGACTCCCTCCGACTGGGCATCAGGAATCTCCTATGGGCCTGGCAAAGAGCTAAGAGTAAGGTAATCAGACGTCCTGCTTTTGGCGGGACAGTCCCGATTTTTAACAATTTGTCCTACGTCCCGCGGTGCTTTAAAAAAGTCCCGATTTTTGGAAAGAATCTGCAGCCACCTTATCAACACAGCTTTTCGGAAATGGAGCCTTGCCCCGTGGTCCTTGGGGCAGACAGAACTTTGAGACTCGGAACTTTGAGACTCGGAACTCTCAGGCTCATTCATTCCTTGGCTTTTATGGGAAGGATGTTCCTGGGGCTATTCCAGAACAACGCTCTATTCCGTTATTCAACAAATAATCAGTAACCCTTTAGAGCAGCGGTTCCCAACCTTTGTTGGCCATGCCCCACCGAAGCATCTCTAAAATCCTGTTGCCCCCAAACTCATATAAATGTTATTATTCAAAAAGTGAGCTAGCTATTCACGTGGAGGAAGCCTCAAAGGCCTTGAATAAAAGAGAAGAGAATTCTATATTTTGAAACTTTATTTGCTACTTTTTATGTCACTTCATATTATTATTATTATTATTATTATATCTTAACAGTTTCTTAGTGATTTCTTCCTCAGTCCTTCAGCTGTCCTTTCGTGTTTGTTTTTTTTTTTTTTTTAATCTTTCGTGGATGCCATGTTCTTTGGAAGCTTGTTTAGACCAAGTTCATGGCCTTTTAGGCTTCCTCCAGTGAATAGTAGGAGTTCACTTTTTAAAAAAAATATATATTTTTATTGATTTTTTCACAGAGAGGAAGGGAGAAGGATAGAGAGCCAGAAACATTGATGGGAGAGAAACACTGATCAGCTGCCTCCTGCACGCCCCCCACTGGGGATGTGCCTGCAACCAAGGTAAATGCCCTTGACCGGAATCGAACCTGGGACCCTTCAGTCCGCAGACGACGCTCTATCCACTGAGCCACACCGGTTTCGGCGGGAGTTCACTTTTTGAAAAGTTAGAATTATATGTCACAGTGGCATCAGGATATCAGAGATGCATGGCCAAAACCAGGTTGGGATCCACTGGTCTAGATATACCATGTATTGTACTGTATAGTACTCATTATTTTCCTGGGCATAAAATGGACCTTTTGTGTTTGAATG